ACTGTGTGTGCACCCTGTTACTGTGAAAATAGTAACAGGGTGGACGGTAACAGGGTTGGACATTTTATGTCTAAACTTGGCTATTGCTGTGTGATGATAATCAAGCTAGCACTTGGTGACAACAGAAACAGATGTATTCACCATATTTTCTAAATGTAAAACAAATGATCAGTTCCACTAAAAATGAGCATAACAGGGTGGACATTTTATGCTTTACCACAATAGTTAAGTTCTTTAAAACATTAGAAAAACGTTGAAGGAAGAACGCATTCACTCTGCTTCTTGAAGATGATTTCCCACTCAAAATGTATCCTTCTTCTTCTTGAGTCATACAAATAGTAGAATAGTAAAGGGGCGTGTCCAGAGGGATTCAAATCAGAGTAACAGGGGGGACATTCAAACAGGGGACACACACTTTATTTTCAATACAAATGAATTAATAACAACAATTTCAATTTGGTGAGGAATATTAGCAAAAGGGTCATACAACACTCACAAAAATGTAGAATTTGTTTGTATTTATTTGATTTCTTTTTGTATATCTGTTACAGAAGTTGAGCAAACATGATTGGGGACACAGCAATTTGGCCTACTTGTGCTAAAATCAGAGTAATTATTTAGAATGCTTAATATCCTGGCTAAATAACATTGTTGCTTTATGGTAGAGGGTATAAACATTTAAAACCAAGCTTTTAAAAAATAAGTATTAGACCTTTTAAATACAAAATATATGATATAATGTGGTGGGGACCTAAATGGCACCGAATGCTAGGAATGACTTCATTCCTTCAAGACTTCAGTCTATAAGTATATGTAGTCAAACCCTTCAATAATTATTTGTTGAATCTAAATGTGTCTACTTGAACGTGAAAATCAATTTTTTACATTTACATTTAATATTTTAAGATATTTTTCTAGGAATGTAGGCATTTATAATTTTAAATATTGGGGAGTTTACATTCATTCACATATTTTAGTCTGATTCCAGCATTTTTTCCAACATTTTATTTCTGTAATTTCCATGGATGTTTCCTGGACATATCTGTGTAAAGCACCAAATACAGGAGAAGAGACAACACTGATTTGGGTTGTGTTTAGTTTATATATTGAAATACAATATTCTATATTTTAAATGTGTCATTGATCAGAGTTGCAATGTGTACACATTTTGATAAAAACTACAGTAGAGTAGCCTATGCTAACAGGCTCTAAATGTTTTTTTCAAAAGTTAATCCCAAATAATTTAACTCTTTTAAAAGGTAATTTGTTATTAGTGACAGTATTGGGATCAACTTTATGGTTTCCTCTGATCAACATAAACTAAATATATTCAGGGTAACAGTTTAGCATTGTGTGTGAATCCAATTCACTTTTAAATAGAAAAAAATAAGTTTATGAAATATTAAACTCTTTCATAATTTCACGTGTTAATTGAAAAAGACTAGTTGAGGTTAGTAGGCTACAGTGTAGTTACATTTTGATACACATGTTCCTCCAGTTAACATGTTGTTGCTTGATTAATAAACACCTGACTCACAGCTATAACGTTACATTGCATATGTACTCTGTCTCGCAGTGTGTTGAGAGAGGCTGTTGGTCTCGTTTGAGTTTAACAGCGTCTTCTAAAATCGACAGATATTTTTAATCCAGCTCTCCCCAATAACCGTCGCGTCACTTCCTCAGCCCATGCCCATCCCTTTGGAAGGAAAAAAAGAAAACTCTCACCGACAAACGACGGCGAGAAAAAGAGCGAGGGAAAAGCCGAGAAGGAAGCTAAAGTCAAAAAGCCAGATGAAAAAGTTGGATACTGAAGAGCGAGCCAACCAAAGAACAGAGTATTCCCGTTAAAGTAAGTTTTACACACTTTTAAAGAGTCGCTGCCGCTCACTCAAGTCTATTGATCAGTTTTACATTGATCCAAGCGGTCACTGCTTTGTCAATAAGTGTGTAACCCTCGAGTGCTTATTATTACAATAGCTGTATTTTACCAATTCAATACACAATTTACTTTAACTATTAATGGAAAGTTCTGGTAATAGGGGTAGGCCTGTAAGCAAGCCCCCTCCCTCCCAAAACTAACTCTCACATAACTCAAAATAAGGTCTTCTCATTTTCAGTTTCTTTTTTAATGTATGATGTTGATTGATAAATTGTAATTAAGGTGAGCTAGCCTGAAAAAATTGTCATATGTATGAGGTAATATTGGCTTTACACTCTGTAATTATTATTAACTTGGAAAGTTACAGTCTTGTTTTCATCCGCATACACCCCTGAGGGGAGAGAAAAGTATGTGCTAGCGTATGTTTCAAGTACAAGTCTCAGCATGGCCTTCACAGCCGCTCCAGTGCCAAAAAGCTCATTGGTGTCCCGCAATGTTGCACAACATGGCTAAGTGTTGACGCTGCCCTGTCTTATCATGAGGCAGGACTGGGGCTTCAGTATTTCAGTTTATCCTGCAAAATGTCTGTATTACATCTCATTGATGGGTTATTGCTCATTGTAAATAAGAATCTTTGCCCTGTTTAGCCCCCATATTAACCTCTACCTCAATCTGTCTACAGTCATGCCGCTGCACAAATCAACCCGGGCACCTCGCCTGGACCCCACCATGATCTCAGCCCCACTGGGGGACTTTCGCCACACCATGCACATTGGCAGAGGAGGTGATGCCTTTGGGGACACCTCCTTCCTGTCCACTCTTGGCCCGAGCTCGGCCAGCCCTGACCCGGAGGGTTCAGGGATGACGCCAGCTGGTGATTCTCAGGTGGAAGTCAACCACAGTGAGCTCCATACTGACGCTCCAGGAAGCCCACAGGACTACGAGCTCAAGCACTCTGAGTCAGTGTCTTCCTTCGACATGGATCTGGATCTAGGCCCGTCCATGCTGGGGGATGTACTCGGGATAATGGACGGTTTGGGGTTTGACTCCAATGAGGAATATGTGTTCGACCCCAAAAGTGGCACATCCCTGGTGGAAGCACAGCAGGGAAAAGGGGTTATGGAGAAGTCTGTAAACATGCAGAACGAGCTGAATGGGAAGAACTTGGTGGGGTTGGATGGAAACCAGGTGGGAGACAGCAGGATAGCAGATGGGAACGGGTTCAAGCCCAAGGGGTTACGACCAAAAGTGAGATTCAGTGACAAACGAGAGGAGATAATTCGCCAGGCATCTGAAGAGGAAGAGGGTCAAGGGTTTGACTTCCAGGATGAGGAGCAGCTGGTGGTTCGTAGTCCAACGAGGGGTGAGAGTGTAGTAGGTGGAGGTGAAACCGAGGTCACCAATCACAAAGTAGATTTGCCACCTAGTCCGGCTTCGTCACATAGCTCAGAGTACGAAGGAGTCACCTCATTGGACAGGAGGAGGGTTGACAGCGGCCACTCAGAGACTGATACAGAGGAGGAGGAAGAGGAGGGACGAGGCTACACATTTGAAGATGAGTTTGATGATGAAATCGGTCTATAGGGGATAGGTACAGTTTCCCCGTAAAAACAGATCTTTGCTGTCATGTAAATCAAGTAAACTGTATTTTCTTTTTCAGCATCATTTTAACGGGAGGCTTAAACAGAATGCAAACTGGATTTAAAAAAAAAAGATTTAGTTTGACGATGTTGCTCAACTGGAAGAGACATTTTATGTTTTATCTGTGAAGGTAACAGATTCACTCGTCATTTGATCAGAACATTCATGTTGTTTTTGAGGTTATTGCAGTGGAAGGTTTGTAGCACTTTGATTTATTTCAATGACCTGGAAAACTTTGCTGACACATACTAAATTAATTATGCTTGCGGTAATTTCCATGTTTTCTTTATTTTTCGCCATCCGAAGCACACAGGTGCTTATTGAGCTTTGTTACAGTGCCTTAAAGAGAGCTGTATTCTTACATAATTTTTTCATGTGCTATATCAATGTCTTAATTATTATTTCTCATACTGCATGTTTATTACAATCTCTGTGTCTTTTCTTTATGTTTAATGCATTTGTCAA